TACTACGTCAAGCTAACAGGAAAGTAAGAGTAAGGGTCACCAGTCGCCGAGTCAATGCTGTCAACTTCAGAAAACGAATGGTGCATGGCAAAAAACAGCCATTACGTGCTATCTGTGACTGCTTGCAATCAGGAAATCATAAGTTATTAGCACTTCGTGCATTTGATCGTTCTAGCTGACAAGATTGAAGAACGTGTGCTATGTTTCGATGATGAAGTGGACTAGGGGTGGTGTGACCCCACTAACGCGAAAGTGACAACGCCTTGCACGTCGACGTTTGCCATGAACCTCACAGGTACTCTCAGACTACCCCATGCATGAATGTTTTTTTAATATTCTTTTGTTATTATTTTGTTGAGAACAAACGGGAGGACAGCCGTCGTCCGCTTGTATTTAACGGCCCGCATGGATACTGGCCTGGTTTTCACCATAGGTAGCAAAGATAAGCGGTATTGCGTGCAGTCGTGGGTACGAAAGACCTTCGTTGGCCGTGTGTTACTGTACATAAGTGAGCTCCCATCATCAGCGCCGCATATGGACACTGACCCAGCAGTTACGATAATTAGTCGAGGTGAGTGACGACGACTACTATCATAGTAACCGCTTTATGGCGATCACCACCTATAGAGCATTGTATTCATAATAGGAATATTACCCGCGGCTGTCTCTTGGCGCTGCATAATCTACAGATTAGTTATGTACATCTGGTGAAGGGGATCGTCCACAGAGACTGCCCTCGGGTGGCCACCGCACAGCTCATGCTATTGCCTAACAATGTTGTACTCACAGGGCGTTGAGATCCATGGGAAAACGTGTTGTGAGCAGGTCCACCGAACAAAATATATCCTGCGAGTATATTAGCATTCGTTAAATCTGAGGACTGTGAACGAATGTCAGCAGCTGGTCTTCCAGGGTGAAGTTTGAATTGGGAATTCTTTAGATGTTTTTTATGCTTATTGAACACCGGAGGACAGAAAAATATGCTGAAGTGATATTTAGCGCTTTATGTGGCTTAAATCGGTAAGGAAATGCGAATCGATGATTGTCGGTGACCTTGAAATTTCGCTCACTTAAACAAAATGCTAGGAGCAACATGGCACCGGAAACTGCAAATGGATTATACTAATCACAACATCGAAAACCTTATAGTGTCGGCGAAATGAATTTAGGCATACTTATAGTCAGCAGCAATGACGTCGGTTTGCAAAGTCTTGAGTAAGGCTTGTGGAATGTATGATGCGCATGTTCGGTGAATGCGACAAAAGCAGTTGGGTCTCCATTTTCTCCAGCAGATGCTGCCCCCGGCCCGCATACTGGATCCACTTTCGATGCTGAATCAAAAACGGATTCTAAAAATATGATGGCCAATTTTGCTCAGTTTGATGACGCATGGAATGTTCAACCGTTGCCGCGGAAACTTGAGACAGTTGAGTATGATCGGTTCACAATTTTTATGCCTCACAAACTCCCTCAAGACCTTGGTTTCGCAGTTGCTGTCAAGATGCTGGCATTATTATCCGGTAAGCAAAGTACTCTGTTCAGTCACTCTCTCGAGATTACCAGAGGGATAGTGAATAGTTCCACACTTATGCCGGTGTGGTCAACGGAGAAGGCCAAAGATTTCAGCCCAGGTCCAAGACCGATGATCAAGTCAGGTGTCTTATCTACGTGGCAGGTCTTCAATCACTGCATACTGCAGATATTCTGACCCGGATACCTAAAATATTGAGCGAGATCGGTAAATGACGCTTCGGAAGCTTACCGGGGGATGCCAACATCAAATCCACCTGAAGGCTGATGCTGCAGTTACGAGACATTACAGCCTCTCTCAAACTGACATGGCATGGAAAGTTACTACCAAAAGGCAATCGAATTCCAAATGAGCGGCAAGAAAACAACCCAGGCGGCGTTGGTTTTGTAGAAATGGTATTATCCACGACACTGTTCCTACCGTAAATGCAGGTGCAGCGAATGCTGTCAAAATGTCACAGAAGAACGCTGCAAGGACACCTTCAGTAGCTCGCGCCGACCCGACAAAAGGAGAGAGGCAGGTGTCGAATCCGCCACATTCAGGATAAAATCATCCGGTCGACGTAAATTCGTCGCTGTATGTATCAATGGCACACCGATTACACCTCAAATCGACAAATGCTCTGGCTTTGATCTGATTCCAAAAAACATGGGACGTGTTTGGAAGACATACACTGGAACATACAAAGGCGCCTTTCATAACCTATCAGGTGGAAGCCTCCGACTGGCCCGCAGGATTAAATGTTGCATAACATTAAAGGAAATTGTACGGAATTGTACTTGCTATGTCACAGAAGGCACAGACGTTTATCTGGTCAGCATGGATTGGATTCACGGATTCACGGATTGATACACAGGATCGAGGCTATTGCCCAAATTTCCCGGGCCTCTTTTGTTCTTGTCGGTCAGTGGCTGTCGTTCACCTGAAAGGCACAAGTGAAAAAAGGGTGTAGCATTGTTCTTTATGTGCCCAGCGCGGGGTAGTATGCTTGCCAGCGCGAGGATTCGCATAAATTAGTGTCTAATAATGCTTTAAACTGGGTTCTAGAAGGAGCGTGAGCAACCGCCGGAGGAAGTTCATTCCACGCACCTACTACACGAAATGAGAAACAAATTTTGTCTAATGAATGTGTGTGCTCTGAGCTTGAAAATTTTCTTACAATGTCCCCGCCGGGTGTTTGCTGGTTCAACGGTAAAAAAACCTGTTTGCCAAGCTTTGTTCAAACGGGGCATAAGTAAGAATTAGGTCCCCTCGGAGGCGACGGTACTCCAGGGGAAAGAGATCAAGCATCGCGAGACGTGTTTCGTAGCCCACGGATTTGAGGCCGGCAACCATTCTCGTGGCGGCTCGCTGGACACGCTCAATGAGGGTGACGTCTTTCGTGCGTCCTGAGTGGACAACTTGGTTGGCGTATTCCAGGAGCGGTCTGATGTAGGCCCCATAGAGCGTTTGGAAGTCCATGCGAGTAATACGGGAGGTGCGTCGGATCATCCGTAAAATGGCGAATGCCTTTTGGGGCGATTTCTCATGGTG